CACCTGACCGCGATCCGGAGTCTAAACCTTCGGGCTCCGTTCTGGCTCAGTTAGAGGAGTTGGAGGACGCCGTAAAGCGAGTGATCTCGTTCGTTGATCAGGATCGTGGCACTTTCGTGGAACTGAAGCAGTCCCTCTCAGACCATGTGGCCCGCCTCCATTGTCAGGGCGACTTTATGCTCACCCTACGCTGCTCGATGAAACTCATCGATCTGGAACTGTTCTTAACAAAATTGGAGGATTTGCGATATGCGGATTTAGAGTCTGAAGTGAGGCTATTCCTGGCTCCAGTCCGCCGTCGCGTCGCGTGTCAACAGGAGTGCCGAAGGCGAGATATAGAAGACAAATGAGCCCTTATTGATCATCTGGATCTTCGGCACCGCCTGTTGCAATCTGACATGGAGTCTGTCGTTTCTTCGATATTTTTGGGTATGATCTCGCGCGCAGAGGGGGAATCAGTCTTGATAGGCCTGCGCATTCAGAGCGAGACGGTGGAAGGTGATCTCACAGAGAGAGGTGTAATCTTCCACTGCTGCTTCAGGAGGATTCTGTCGCTAACGCTTCTTTCAAGGTGCAGGTCCAGCAAGAGGCAGAGGAAAAAGCTCGCGCCATGCATGTAGAGAAGATAGCCGCAGTCAGAGCCAAGCTTGCTTCTTTTAAACTCCTAGAATAAACCCGTAGGATAGGAGTAGATTCGAGGTGTTCTGTTTCATGTTTTGCTTCTCGAATGTAATGTTATGACTTTCTTGGTGGTAAAGTCATAACTTTGTTCAAATATACTGTCTAGAAGCATCTAATGAAGTTTGTGCTTTCTCGTTGTGCACACACTCTTTTCATGTTCTGTTGTGTTGCCATTTAGCGTCTCGCTCATGTGACGGGTAGACTCATTTACTGGCAATTTCATGCCGCGGGCGAAGCTCATGTCCGGGCGAGTTTACGCTACAGGCGAACTAAAGAGTTCGTGTTGAAAGCAAGACTTAAACTAGTGGTGAGTTTTTTGCTACAAATGAAACTCGGATTCTGGCAAATTTGTGCTGTAGACGAAACTCGAGTGTTGGCGAGTTTGCGTTGAAAGCTAGACTCAAATGCTGGCAAGTTTGTGCTGCAAGCAAAGCTTAAGCGTAGGCAAGTCTGTGCTGTAAGTAAAACTCAAGCGCAGGTGAGTCTGTGCTGCAAACAAAATTCAAGTGCTGGCGAGTTGGTGCTGCAAGCAAAATTCAAGCGCAGGCGAGTTTGTGCCACACGTCTGCCTACGGACCCAGATGCTTGCCAGCTAGGGTGTTGTAGCCACGTTAGTGCTCATTAATTGCGAAGTGACGGGACGCTTCGCCTTTCGTGCTCAATCTGAACGGTCAGTTTGGAGTCCCAATGGCGAAGCTCTTATGGGTGTCAAACTCGAAGTGTCGCTAGAGATCTGAGCCGTTCAATCTACCTGAGGCAGCAAATCCTAGCCGTTCAGCTCCCGGCTATATAAAGTGCTCGCGGTCTCTTCGGTAGAGTTCTCGTGGTTACGAAAAAAAATTTGCCAGAAGAGAATCACAGAACTCTCCCTGCTTTATTCAATGGCTTCTGAATCAAATACTTTGAAGAGCAAGGAGGTTGCTTCCTCCTCTGCTGTCGTTGGCATCGACGCGGCCTCCGCTGCTGTGGCCGCCGGGTCAGCTCAAGGGTCCGCCACCGCAGATCCCACTCCGACGCTTGTTCTCCTCCAGAAGTTAGAGGGGGACCTTCACCGAATGGCTGTTATGATCAGCCAAGGCGTCGGGGGGTACGACGACGTGCTCCTCTTTGTGGCCGAAGGCCTGGAGGAGATCCGTTGTGTGGGTGGTCGCCAGCTGGCCTGATGATGTGAGTAGGAGCTTCAATGTTTGGGGCTGCTGCTGCATCGCCTGGAGGAGTTGGCGCACGCCGATGCCTCTGACGAACCACCGCCTCTCGTAATGAGCGTCATGTTTGAGCATGAGGATCTGGCGAGGCTCATTCAGGCGAAAGAGGCTGAGCTCACACGCTTGCGTGGGCAACATCATGCGGTGTTGGCTGAGATGGACGCCTACATAGAAGCCGCTTTCTTCATGGATGCTGGGTCCCTCGAGGGAGAGGCGAACTTGCGGAAGCTCGAGCACGAAAAGACGCGGCTTGATCGTTGTTTCCGAAGTGGTGGCAGGGGCGCTCCGGCTGTCTTCGCCAGGAGGAAGAGATGGTGAGGTGCTTCGCCAAGCTCAGCAGAGGCATGAGGCGAAGCGCCCGATGCCAGCACATGCGGCAACAAGCTCGCGGCTGTCAAGGCAAAAATCGCCAGTTTTAGTCTTTTGAAGTTGATGTAGGGTGTCGCTCCCTTTGTTAAACACTATTTTGTAATTTTTTGATGCTTGACGCATCACAGTTTAAAAACTCTATGTCTGTAATTTTGGCCTGGAATGGCCTATTACGCTTTTGTTTATTTACTGCTTTGCATGCACAGCTTTTTCTTTATTTTCTGTGTTTGATCTATGCTTAGGACTATTGGTTAGTCCTTGATAGCCACTGTGTCGGACTCGCCTGTGCTGCTTATCGCCTGAATCGAGCCAGTTATGCTATTTTTCGCAGTGTGGCGAGCCTTCGATGAGTTTGTCTTGGACTTAGTCGCTAGGATCCCCTTCTGCTTTTGGTTGTTCGCAGCGTGGGGTCAGGTTGACCCCGACTTTCACGTTGTAGCTCAGGCGAACAAAGAGCGGTTGCTTGTGCATGCGACCAGCTGAAGACCCTAACAATGACTTGCCATTTGGCAAGTTGCTGCTTGAGGGGGCGGTTGGGCCGTGTCGTCCATTAAGCCGCCTTCAATAATCATCATCATTCGCAAGGACGATGATGTGAATGATAATCGAATCATTCAGGGATGTAGGAATGTGACGATCGATTGCTGTAGGAGTCGTCGCATGGTAGGCTGCTACCCATCGGTTATTCTAAGGGAACATTAGGATACCCGAGATAGGTCAAGTAGTTCAGGGACGTAGGGGTGTGACTATTGACCGAAGCAGCAACACGTCACATGGTAGGTTACTACTTAGGCGGTATTACTCATGGAAATAATGGGGCCAGTTATCAGAGGTGATCGTTAACATGATAGAATTTTATTACGATCGGAGCAACTATGAGGACTCATCATCCCATTGGAAGGGATTGGTAAGTTGATTTTGTCAGAGGTGATAATTAACATGACAGGGTTGTTTGCCGCAATGTGAACGACTTTGGTGGGCTCACCATCCTATTGGAGAGGATTGATAAGTTGATTTTGTCAGATGTGATAATTAACATGATAGGATTGTTTGCCGTGATGTGAACAACTTTGGTGGGCTCACCATCCTATTGGAGAGGATTGGTAAGTTGATTTTGTCAGGGGTAATAATTAACATGACAGGGTTGTTTGCCGCGATGTGAACGACTTTGTTGGGCTCACCATCCTATTGGAGAGGATTAGTAAGTTGATTTTATCAGAGGTGATAGTTAACGTGACAGGGTTGTTTTGGTCCCAACTGTAAGAAGGTTGGACCCAATGGCGATCTAGGTCACACTTAAGAACGCTATTAGTAGTGTCTTGTATAGGGTTTCCCATCGGAGTATATAAAGTAGGAACAGTTTAGCCTCGTGTACCAGGACCAGTTTAGACTCATGCACTCATGGGAGTTTGGTGGGGCAGTTTATACTCTTGCACCAGTAGGAGTTGGAAGAGAACTAAGGGTAGTACTTCTTCAAGAACTTGCCATTGATAGGCATCATGATCTTGTCGCCGTTCGGTTTGACGAGGCGATAAGCTCCATTCGAATAGACTGTCTCTACTATGAATGGTCCTTCCCATTTGGGCTAAAATTTACCCTTTTTCTTAGAAGTGAGAATCATCGGTCGTCGGATGGTAAGCACCAATTCTCCCTCCTTGAAGGATCAACGCTTGACTTTCTTGTTGAAAGCCTTAGACTTTCGGGCTTGGTAGAACTCAATGTGTTGTTGAGCTTCAAGCCGCTTGTCATCCAACGCTTCAAGTTCCGCGAGGTGTCGTTGGTGATTGTCCTCGGTCGTCATCCCCATAGCTAGGGCGACACGGAGGAAAAGAATTTGAATCTCTAATGGTAACACAGCTTCACAGCCATATACCAATGAATAAGGCGTGTTGCCGGTCGATGTACGAATCGTCGTGCGATACGTCCATAAGCTCTCGCCCAGCTTCTCGTACCAATCATGCTTGTTGTTAGAAGTCAGCTTGGTCAAGATCTTAATGATTGTTTTGTTGAAGGCCTTGGCCAAGCCATTCGCCGAAGGGTTGTAGGCCATAGAGGAAAGATTCTGTATCCGGAATTTATCACAAAACCGGGTGAACGCATGACTAACGAATTGTGTACCGTTATCATGGATGATACGTCGAGGTACATCATATCGATATATGACATGATGTTTGATGAACTTAATCACGTCATTGGTCTTGACTTCTCTTAAGGGGACGGCTTCGGCTCATTTAGAGAAGTAGTCGGTGATTGTGAGGATGAAGAAATGACCTCTCGCCGACGGTGGGATTATTGGTCCGACGATGTCCATCCCCCATGCTTTGAAGGGCCAAGACGCCGTTGTCGTGTGTAGGTCTTCAGGAGGTTGATGCAGATAGTTGGCGTGGATTTGACACGCGTGGCAACGTTTTGCGTAAGCAATCGTGTCGCTGACCATCCCTGGCCAGAAGTAGCCTATTCTCCATAATCGATCCTAAAGCTTGGGTCCGGGCTGGTGAGCTCAGCAAGTGCCGTCGTGGGCTTCACGTAGAGCCTCTCGTTCTTCGGTCTTCGAAAGACATCGAAGTAACAGGCCGTCATATGACCTTCGATAAAACGCCTTTGTAGTCGAATCGTAGTAGAACCTTAAGGCACGCCAGCGGACGGACTCTTGTTCTCGAGCGTCCTCGGGTAGCTTACCATACAGGACGTAATTGATGATCGGGAGACGCCAATCTTTCGGGTCAGGTTGATCCAAGACTTGGTGAGTGGCGTTCGCTTCTAGAACATCTTTTGGTCGAAAGAGTCTTCGGCTCGCCATAGTGACCCATTGAGTCGTTTCTAGTGGCTGGGCCAAGTTAGCTGCCAAGGATGCGAGGGCCTCCGCGTGCGTGTTCTTGGAACGAAGCACGTACTCGATGTGGAAGTTTTTGAATGACTCTACTAGCTTAGTAGCTGCTTTGTGAAGCGGGATCAGGTCGTCATTTCTGACCTCGTATTCCCCCGTCATTTGCTTGACAATGAGTTGGGAGTCACCATAGTCCTCGAGGTGCTTTATCTCTAACTCTCTTGCCAACTCAAGTCCAATGAGTAGCGCGTTATACTCAGCCACATTGTTGGTGCATGGCTCTGTTAGAGAAAAGGCTCGGGGTAGTACGTGATTATGTGGGGAAGTGAGGACGACCCCCACTCCTGTGATGATAGATCTGCTCGTGCCGATGCGAGATGCGCCATCGAAGAACATCTGCCAAACCTCTGGTGAAGAAGTTGTGTTGACCTCGGGGGGTTCATCTGGCAAATCTTCGAATAGGTCAGTTTTCGCTCCTAGCGGATGACTAGCCATGAGATCACAGATAGCCTATCCTTTAACTGACTTCTATGGCATGAAGTGAATGTCATATTGTGACAGCAGGAGTGCCCATCTGGCCAAACGCCAGTTTAAGGCTGTAGGCTGCGTCATGAAGACTCGGATGGGGTTCATCCGGAAAATAACGTGGATGGTTTGGCCAACTAGGTAGTGTCGCATCTTTTGGATGGCAAATACCAAGGCTAAACACTCCTTTTCGACCATAGGGTATCGCCGTTCGGCGCCCTATAGAGTTCTACTTAGGTAGTAGATGCCCTGCTCGTGGCCGGCGTCGTCATTTTGTGCCAAGAGAGTGCCCAGAGAATGCTCCATAGCCCTGATGTAGATGAGGAATGGCTTCCCTGAGATTGGAGCCGCAAGGACAGGCGGGTTCGAGAGATAAGCTTTGATCTCCTCAAAGGCCTGTTGGCAAGGCTCATCCCATACGAAGGAAGTACCTTTCTTCATCAGTTTGGAGAATGGTTAACACTTACCCGAAAGATTTGAAATAAACCTCCGGATGTAAGCTAGTCGTCCCTGAAGGCCCCTTAGCTCCTTGAGGTTTCGGGGTGATTGAAGCTCCTGAATATCTCGTACCTTGTCTGGGTCAATCCGGATTCCTTTTGTCGTTACCACGAACCCAAGGAATTTACCGCTGGACATCCCTAAGAATGACTTCGTAGGATTCATCTTGAGTTGATGAGTCCTCATGAGTTCGAACATCACCCTTAGGTCTTGGAGATGGTCATCTTTACTGTGACTTTTCACGACCAAATCGTCCACATAGCACTCGACCGTCTTTCGTAGGTGATCTTGAAAGATCATGCTCATGGCGTGTTGGTAGGTTGCGCCTGCATTTTTGAGTCCGAATAGCATTACTGTGTAGTAGTATACCCCCACAGGAGTCCTGAATGAAGTGTGTTTTTCGTCCTCGGGGTGCATTTTGATTTGATTGTACCCTGAGAACCCATCCATGAAGGACATCCTTTCAAATCCACACGTGTTATCAATGATGACGTCCGTGATGGGTAAAGGAAATGCATCCTTAGGGCACACAGCATTGAGGTCCCTGAAGTCAATGCAGATGCGAATCTTACCGTTCTTCTTCATAACCGGAACAATATTGCTACCCAATCTGGGTGCTGTTCCTCTCTGATGAAGCTGGATTCGATCAGTTTCTTCACCTCGGCTTCGATTGCCTTCATTATCTACGGATGAAACTGCCTCTGCTATTGTTTGACTGGTTTAGCGTCTAAGCCGATGTTGAGGCGATGCATGGCGACCCTTGGGTCGAGGTCGGGCATGTCCTCATAATTCCATGCGAAGACGTCAATGTATTCACGTATGAGGGCAATGAGATCTTCTTTCTCTTGGGAAGGTAGACTACCACTGATAAATATGGTCTTGGGATTAGTCTCATCACCCATGTTCACTTGGAGAACTTCGTCTTCGGTCAGCAGTTCACGTTGCTCGAAGCGACTATTCCACTGAGCATTGACGTGGTGGTCCCATGTCTTATCATAAAGCGGGACCTGTCTGTCCCATGCCATTTCAGCGGGATCAATCGCAACCATGTTGACCGTAAGGTTGTCGAACAAGTCCCCTGTGCTAACATCTGAGTCCCATGCCGAGGTTGTCGACGATTGATCCCCCGAACGCGCATAGTCGGAGTCCACGTTGACATAACAGAACAAATCCGATGAGGAAGAGGAGTAGCCTAAACCTCTCTGAGTCCTGTTGAAGTAATTTGAGGGTTTTCCTTTAGGTACGTAAGCATGTCGGATGACTGTCTTGCGTCCTCGGCAGTAATTCAGGCCCTCTAGGCGAGTGAAGTTGTACCCCATATTGCTCATCATGCGCTTCGCGATCTTACTGTACTGCGAAAACTAAGGTGCGGGGTCTTCATCTTCGGATTCATCCCACAACGTGTATAAAGAGTGATCAATTCGTCCGAAGATAATATCCTTTTGATAATTATCCTAGGCTGGTACGACGAGTATACCTTGTGATGACTTGATCGGCTGTATCTTCG